CAACAAAAATAGTATGAAACCAGAGATCAAAAACTGGAAAATTCACAAACATGTAGACACTAAATAACACACTCCTGAACCACCAAAAGGGTCAAAGAAGAAATCAAAAGGGAAATCAAAAGATATCTTGAAACAAATGAAAATGGAAACGAAATATCAAAACCTACAGCATGTAGCAAAAGCAGCTCTGAGAGGGAATTCTGTAGTGCTAAATGTCTACAGTAAGAAAAAAGATCTCAAACACACAACCTGTATTACACCTCAAGGAACGAGAAGAACAAACTAAGCCCCAAGTTAGCAGAAAAAAGGAAATAACAAAGATCAGAGCAGACGTAAATGAAATAAAGACCAGAAAAATAACAAAAAAGATCAATGGAACTAGGAGTTGGCTTTTTGAAAAGGCAGACAAAATTGAAAAACTTTTAGCTAAACTAAGAAAAAAAGAGAAAAAGCTTAAATAAAATCAGAAATAAAAGAGGAAACATTACAACTGATACTGTAGAAATACAAAGGATCAGAAGAAACTACTAGGCCAACAAACTGGGTAACCAACCTATAAAAAATAAATTCTTAGAAACATATGCCCAATAAAATGGAATCATGAATTAACAGAAAATCTGAACAGAACAATAAGGAGTAAGGCGATTGAACCAGTAATCAAAAACCCCCCAACAAAGACAAGCCCAGTATGAAACTGTTATGCCAGTACTTCTCAAACTCAGCATAACAGCAGGTATAACAACCCTACAGCTAATATATACTCAATGGTGAAAGGCTGAGATCTCCCTCTGAGATCCGGGACAGGGGGAGGGTGCCCACTCTCACCTTTTCCATTTAGCATGATACCGGAAGTCCTAACTGGAGTAATTAGGCAACAAAAAGAAATAAAAGGCATCTACATCAGAAAGCAAGCAGGAAAATTATCTGTTTGCAGATGACATATTATACTGAGAAAATCTTAAAGACTCCATCAAAAACACTATCAGATCAACAAATTCAGTAAAGTTGCAGGATACAAAATCAACATACAAAAATCAGTGGTGTTTCTATAAAAGGAAGTATCTAAAAAAGAAGGAAAACAATCCCATTTAGAATAGCATCAAAAACAAAATACTTAGGAATAATTTAACCAAGTAGGTGAAAGATCTCTACTCTGAAAAGTCTAAGACACTGATGAAAAAAAAATCACAGAAGACACAAATAAATACAAACGTATCCCATGTTCATGGATCAGAAGAATTTTTTTTAAAGATTGTATTTATTTATTTGAGATAGAGCAACAGAGCATGAGGGTCGGGGGGAGCAGAGGGAGAAGCAGGCTCTCCGCTGAGCAGGGAGCCCGATGAGGGGCTCAATCCCAGGACCCTGGGATCATGACCTGAGCCAAAGGCAGACGCTTAACTGACTGAGCCACCCAGGCGCCTCGATCTGAAGACTTTCTATTGTTAAAATGTACATACTACCCAAAGCTATCTATAGATTCAATGCAATCCCTATCAAAATTCCAATGGTACTTTTCACAGAAATAGAAAAAACAATCTAAAATTCATATGGAACCACAAAAGACCCCCAAAAGGCAAAGCAATCCTGAGAAAGAATAAAGCTGGAGGCATCACACTTTTTTATTTCAAACTATATTACAAAGCTATGGTGATGAAAATAATATGCTCCTAGCATAAAAACAGACACAAATTAATGGAACAGAATTGAGAGCCCAGAAATAAACCCTCTCATATTTGGCCTGTTAATATTTGAAACAGGAGCCAAGAATACTCAATGGGGAAAGAATGGGGGAAGAACAGTCTCTTTAGAAAATGGTGGTAAGAAAATTAGATAATCACATGCAGAATAAAGAAAATGAACCCCTATTGTATACCGGTCATGAAAATTAACTTGAAATAGATTACAGACTTAAAACCTAAAATCATAAAACTCCTAGAAGAAAACTTAGGAGGAAAGCTCCTTGACGCTGGTGTTGGCAATGATCTTTTCAATATGACATCAAAAGCACAAGCAACACAAGCAAAGAGAAACTACACCAAACTAAAAAAAATTCTGTAAAAAGCAAAGGAAACCATCAACAAAATGAAAAGGCAACCTATGGAATGGGAGAAAATATTTGCAAGCCATATATTTGATAGGGGTTAGTATCAAATATGTTTAAGGAACTCCTACAACTCAACAGCATAAAAACAAATAATCCAATTTAAAAATGGGCAGAGGACCTGAATAAACATTTTTCCAAAGAAGACAGATGAATGGCCAGCAGGTACATAAAAAGGTGCTCCATAGCACTACGTATCAGGTAAATGCAAATCAAAACCACAATGATCACCTCACACCTGTTAGAATGAATACTATCAAAAAGACAAAAGATAAGTATTGGTGAGGATGTGGAGAAAAGGAACCTTTGTGCACTATTAATGGGAATGTAAATTGATATAGCCACTACGGAAATACATATATTGCAAATTCTTTATCCATTCATCTGCTGATGGAAACAATAGGTTGTTTCTGTGTCTTGGCTATTGTGATCAATACTGTGATAAATATAGGGGTGCAGATACTTCTCCAAGGTAGACTTTATATTCTTTGGATATATACCCAGATGGACCATATGGTAGTTCTATTTAAAAAAAAATTTTTTTTTTAGATTTTATTTATTTATTTATTTGACAGAGAGAGAAAACACAAGCAGGGGGCGCAACAGAGGGAGTGGGAGACGGAGAAGCAACGCCCCCCCCCGGGGCCTTGGTGCAGGGAGCCCGATGTGGGACTCGATCCCAGGACCCTAGGATCATGACCTCAGTGGAAGGCAGACGCTTAACCGACTGAGCCACCCAGGTGCCCCCTATTTTTAATTTCTTGAGGAACCTCTGTATTGTCTTCCAAAGGGGTTATATCAACTTACATGTCTATCAACTGTGGTGATATGTGTACACACAATGGGATACTATTCAGTCATAAAAAAAAAAATTTTAAAAGGGAAGGAAATCCTGCCACTTGCAACAACATGGATGGACCTTGAGGACATTATGCTAAATGAAATAAGACAAAGAAAGACAAATACTGCATGATCTCACTTATATGTGGAATCTAAAAAAGCTAAACACATAGAGACAGAGTTTCCAGGGGTTGAGGGGTGGGGGAAATGGGAGATGCTGGTCAAAGGGCACAAAGTTCCAGTTATAAGATAAATAAGTTCTGGGGAATCGCATGTACAGCATGGTGACCTTGGTTAACAATACTGTATTATATACTTGAAAGCTTCTGAGAGAGTAAATTTTAAAGGTTTTCACCGTGCACACACACAGAAGGCAAATGTGTGAGATGAGAGATGTGGTCATTAACCTTACTATGGTATTCACTTCCTAACATATAGGTATATCAAATCATCACACTGGACGACTTAAACTTACACAATGTTAGGAGTCAAGTATATCTCAATATAGCTGGAAAAAATGTTCCTCAGCAACGTTTTGTAGCTTTCAGTGTACAGATCTTCTTACACATGCTAATTATATTCCTGTTTCATATTTTTGATGCTATCGTAAGCAGACTATTTTTATTATATTTTATAATTGTTTACCGATAACATAGTGAAAGACAGTTGATTTTTAAAATTAAACTTTTGGTTTTGAGATAATTTTAGGTACACATGCAGTTGTAAGAAAGAGTTTCTCTGCACTCTTAAAAGAACTGAGAATTAATATAAGGTATGGCTCAAACCTATATAAATAAGTAACGTTAAGACTTCTAATGATATTAAACAAATTCAAAAAAAGAACTGTGTAATAGGTTAAACCAAACTTGAGTGCATACTGATACCTACAGAATGTAAAAACAATGACAATGCAGAGGAAAGTCTATAGTGACATGACACAGGGCTGTCCTAATTCTGACCTGTTCAACGACATGAAGGAAGAAATAGAATGAATACTTATTAAATATGCCAGTGACATAAAGTTGGAAAGGACAGTTAAAACCCTGAATAAATGAAGACTCATAGTTATTCTGACAAGCTGGAAAACTTGGCCAAAAAACTGAACAATCATATATGTGAAGTCCTGATATCAAGGATAAAAAGCAATTCTCTTAGACAAGGATGGCATAAATCTAGTTCACTATAGTGTATGTAAAAAAGATCTAGAGCTTACAGCATAATATCACCGATTTTCTTCAAAGCAAATATAATCTGATTCTCAACAGCAGAAGTATAATCCAAACCGAAAGAAGTACTTTTAGGTATTAAAAGTCTATAAAACTTACTATAAACATATCTAAATAACTATGTTTAATTTTAGGAAATGCATTTAAGACGCATGCTCTGAGGCAGGACAGTCTTGGGAAAAGAGGTCCAGATATATCATATGAAGATCCATCAAAGGAACTGTGGCTGTTTTGCTTAGAAAAGAATTTATGAGTAGGAGTTATAACAGCTGAATTCACATTCTGAAGGGCAGTAATGTAAGAGAGAGGACAGTCTCTTGCTTTTGGAAACTAAGAAATGAGATCCACCACAAAAGTTACAGGGATAGGCACTTCTGCCTAACATAAGGAACTTAACAAAAAAAGGAAACAGCCACCAAGGGAATAGTCTGCACCCAAAATGGAGAGTTTAATGCCACATTTCTCCAGGCATGGGCTTAACAAACGGCCATCTGCCACGGATACTTTAATATTTGTACTGAAGGGACGATTACCAAGATTTTTTTTCTGACTAAAAGATTATCATTCTAATATTTAAGAAATAAAAGTCATGTGAGGACCACAGACATTTGAATCATCGCTCCTTTTCATTCCCCGATCCCGAAGCCAGGGAGAATTAACTCTAACTGCAAGTCTCTTCATATAAACGATAAGTAAGAATCTCGCACCGTAATGCAAGGCATTTTCTCTAGCCTGAGGATAAGGTTCCCTCCTTCCACCTCTACCAGCTGTCAGGTACTGGATGGTCCAGTCCCGGCTCTTGCCTCCATCATCCCGGTCGTCCCCACTACCTTCCATCTCAGGAGCGCATTCCGTTCCTCTGGAACCTGGAGCCCAGGGTTTCCGAAGCAGCGTCCTTCCAGCTGGGGCCTCGGTCTGGGGCTCAGATGAGCCCTTACGCACGCTTCGGTTGGCGGCCCTAAAAGACACAGCCCGGGTCAGCAGCATGCGTCACAATCACACTTCAGAGTTTTGCACAGTGGCTAAGAGATCCCTGGAAAAGAGAAGTGCCCGCCGGGAGCCACTACACGGGCACTCCCGCGGAACAAAAAGAGAGCGGAGCTCGAGTACGCAGGGTCAGCTCCAGATGCAAAAACCCTCTCGGTGCCTACCCTCGAATCTGGCCAGAGGCGCCCCTAGACCCGGCCCGTTACCTCCGTGCACACTGCGGGCTCCCACCCCGGCTCGGACGCAGGAAGACACACCTGTTGCGGGGTGGAAAAGCTGGAAGGTGGGCAAGCAGGGCGGGGCCCGTTCCAGTCCTTCCTCCCAGACCGGAACAAAAGAACAAAGCCCTCCAAGGGATCAGGGCGGAACCGCCCCGCACGGAAGGAGGCGAGAGGCGCCCCCTTCGAGGACTCCCCAGCTCCCTCCTGCAGAGGCCGCTTCCAGCCAAGTGAGAAGGGTGACGTCACGCGGCCGCAAGGCTGGCGGTTGCCATGGTGATACCTGGGCTTCCCTCCCTTTAGGGCGATCCACACACTCGGATCCCGCGTCCGGAAGCGCCGGGACAATCGCCAGACCTAGCAAAGGGAACCGAAGAGGCTGCACTTGCCCAACGCCAACCTCTTTTCACGCCTACTGCCGGCTTCAACGGCCACTTCCGGTCGCGCGAAGAGAACCCCGCCCCCGCTCGTCGCGGGCTTTCGACCGCACCCCGCGGACTGGCGGAACTACGACTCCCAGAATGCTCCACGACACTGAACTCCATTTCCCAGAGGCCTCAGCAACGCGTAAGGTTTCCCATTGGATGGGGCGAGAGTTCTCCCCGCCAGTCACTGGCTTCTAAACGCCGCAGGTGGGAGTAGCGGGACGCGGGGACTTTCAAGTTTGTGTGACCGAACAGATGGGAAGCAATACCCGTTTACACACGTATATGGTTTTAAGACACGAACAAGCACTTCATGGTGCATTATTTGCCTCGTTACTTGTCCTGCATTCTGTTTAGTGCTCTATTCCTTTGTCATTTAAAAAATTCTGGTCGTGGCCCATTATGTTGCTTTCAGGACTCGCAGATGGGTCACGACCCACTTTTTTTTTTTAATGTTAAAGGAAACCGGGAGGAGCTGTTACCGTGTTTTTCCCTACAGCCCTACAGCAGGGCGTGCTTTTTGCCTGCGTCAGCCAGCTGCGAATGGAGTCCGACGCCAATTTGTATGTTCCTGGCAAAAAAAGAACCCCATAGAAGTCGGTAGGTTTTTCTATTTTCCCATGTGTGGTTCGCGCACGCACTTTACTGTGCGTCCCCAGCTTTTGGATAGAGGGCCTAAGATCAAGTCACTCCGTCTTTTGGCTGACAAAACACTAAACTTGTAAATCCTAACACTGAGTATATGAAAAAAAATTCACAAAGAAAAGGGAACTATAAATTAGAAGTCTCTAAGAGGAGATTTCAGAAAAGATCTAAGGTAGGCACTAGAAAATTTCAGGGAACAAGTTGGTACTCACAGGAGTTTGCAAGAAGACATGGCCTGAATGAAACAATAGAAAGATGTGAGAACAAGCTGGAAAACAAAACAAAACAAAATACTAAAAAGACATGCTAGATGAAAAAGATAAAAATATATAGCGAGGACACTTAAAACGAAGCAACATAATTAAAGTCATACTGGAGAAGAACTGAAATGATGCTGTGAAAAGTGAGTCCATTATGGATAGAATATTCTTTTAAAGCTCTTCCATGATTCAAAAGAGAAAGATGAATGAAGTAGAAGAAAAGAAAGTGATATAAAGGACAGCCAACACGTGGATAACTGGCCATCAGGAAAGAGACGATATGGAATCAGCTATGATTTAACACTTTCTTTATGCCAGGTAGTGTTCTAAGTGCTTTTTTGCCTTCTAACTTTTTTAATTCGTAAAACAACCTAATGAAGTTATTTCTGTATTATTATTCGTACTTTACAACAAAGGAAGCTGAGGCACAAATAAGTTAGTAACTTGCCCAAGATCACACATGGGGAAGCTGGGACTTGAATTTAGTAATTTGGTCCCAAACTCTCACTTTTATCTCTGTAACACTAGACTCCCAAGTAAAGACTCCAAGTAAAGTAAAGACTCCCAATTTCCTGAGTTTAAGACTACATCTCTCGGGCGCCTGGGTGGCTCAGTTGGTTAAGCGACCGCCTTCGGCTCAGGTCATGATCCTGGAGTCCCAGGATTGAGTCTCGCATCGGGCTCCCTGCTCAGCAGGGAGTCTGCTTCTCCCTCTGACCCTCTTCCCTCTCGCGCTATCTCTCATTCTCTCTCTCTCAAATAAATAAAATCTTAAAAAAAAAAAAAAGAATACATCTCTCATTCACTGCTGGTGGGAGTACTCTGGAAGACAGTTTACCGTTTCTCATAAAACTAAACATATTCTTACAATATGATCCAGCAATCTCACTCCTTGGTATTTATCCAAATGAGCTGAAAACTTATGTGTCCATACAAAAACCTAATTTCCAAAACTTGAAAGCAACCAAAATGTCCTTCAGTAGGTGAATGGATAAACAATGGCACATCCGGACAATGGAATATTATTCTGCAATGAAAAGAAATAAGCTATCCAGCTAACAAAACACCCTAGGGAACGTTAAATGCATATTGCTGAGCGAACGAATTTGAAAAACTTTGTATGATTCCAACCATATAACATTCTGGAAAAGACAAAACTATGGAGACCGCAAAGATCGATGGTTGCAAGGTGTTGGGGGGAGGGAAATAGGGATAAACAGAACAAAAGCGTTTTTAGGGCAGTGAAACTATTTCTGTGTGATAATGTAATGTTGGATATATGTCATTATATATTTGTCAGAACGCATAGAATGTACAAGACACAGTGAACCCCTCATGTAAACTAGGGGTCTTCAGTTAATAATTTATCAATATTGGCTCATTGGTTGTAACAAAGTTACCACACTAACGCAAGATGTTAATAATATGGAAAACTGGTGGGGGAAGGAGGAAAGTGAGAGTATATGGGAACTTTATACTTGTAAATGTGAATTTATCTGTAAACCTAAAACATTTTTAAAAAGTGTGTTAATTAAAAAATATATGACTGTTAGAGATGCTCTGGTAAGGTTTCAGAAGGAAATGATGGACATGTAACTAGAAACTGGAAAAAAAGTAATTGTTGCGGCTGAATTGTGCTCCCTAGTTGGGTGGAAAACAGAATTTATAAACAATGAACTTGAATATTTAGGGAGGAAATTGCCAAGCAAAGTGTAGAAGGGGCAGCGAGATTTCTCCTTGCTGTCTGTGGTAAAAAAAAAAATAATAATAATAATAATAATTTAAAAATAAAATTGTGGAAAGAACTGTTAAGCAAAAGACAACCGTTTTTTGATGATTTGGAAATTTTTTAGCCACACCTTATACAAATGAGGCTTTCAATACATATTGAGGATTACAAGAATGTGTGTGTGTACATATTTATTAGTTTTAGTGACTGGGTCTGCACCTAAAATGTAAGCAACCATAGGAACCCAGTACAGATGCTCCAAGTATATAGGTAAACTATTAATTGATCAGCTGTCATGTGCCACACACCAATCAAAAACACTATCTACATAGAAGGCATAATTTAGTGAATGAAAGCCGAAGTTTACTGAGTTTTTACTGGATACCAAGCTCTAAATATTGTATTTGAATTAACTCATTTAATTAACTCAGGGTGCGAAACAGAGAACAGAAAAGGATGGAAATTCATGAAAAATGCATATGTGTACGTGTACACCAAATAAAAAGTATGTGATAAGTGTAAATTATGGATAATAAACTACTTCACGTCTATCCCTGGGGAGCAGGCTGTCCCATTAAACCCTTTCTCGTCTCTTCCTTCTCTCTCTATAAGCGACGTGGTTTTTCCATTTGCGATCGTTTTCCTCTTTTCTTAAATTAGCACACCAAACCGAGAAGTAGACAAAAACCTGTGCTCGGTGCTCAGGGCGCCGGGAAACACCGTCACCCACAGCCTGGGACTCGGAGATCGAAACCCAAGACGCGGGGAAAGAAAACAGGCTAGCATTCGCAAACTTTCGGGAAAAATTCAGGCTGGGGTCTTGACCTTGGGGGGCCGCCAGGCTGCAGGGGCAGAGGACGCGCCAAGGGCCGACAAGTTCGGCTCCTAGGCCGCGCCGCGGCGCGGGCCCCGCCTCGCCCTCCGCCCGGGACTCCGGGACACCGGGCAGCGGCGCCGAGCCCCTCCCGGGAAGCCCCCAGCGGCGCGCGTCAGGCCCAGGACTGGGCCGGGGTCTGCGCCGCCGCCGCCGCCGCCGCCGGGGGGACCTTCTTCCCGTGGCCCCGGCCCCGCGCCGCGGGAGGGGACGGCCGTCCTGCCCAGCCTGCCGTCCCCGGAGGGGCCTCCCGCGCTCGCGACCACGTTCAGCCGCTCGCCCCCGCAGCGGCTGCAGTTTCTAGGAACGACTTAAGCAGCTGCCCCAGCGCCGGGTAGTCGTGGCCGAGTGGTTAAGGCGATGGACTAGAAATCCATTGGGGTCTCCCCGCGCAGGTTCGAATCCTGCCGACTACGGTTTTTCTCCGCCCGGCACCCGCTTGTCCTCTTTCGGAGGGAAAACTTGTCCTGGAGGCCGGGCGCCGGCGCCTCGCAGGCAGCAGCGGCCCTGCTGCTCTACCCTCGGGGAGCGGGACTCGCCCTCCTGCGCGGCCCTCTTTTCCGGGGGAGACCTGCCTGAAGCTTTGGTGGAGTCGGGAGTGTAGACACGTGCCCAGGCACCTGGGTTCCACCGCCCCGTCCCGGCTGTTAGTCCCGCGCGCCCGAGACGCGTGGCCGCGCTGCGTGCTCTGGGGGCGGCCGGGGGACGGGCACGAGGACCGAAGCCGGCCGTGGGTGGCGCCCGCTGGCGCTCAGGCCCGGGAGAGGCGAGGAGCGAGGGGCTGAAGGAATCCAAGGAGGAAAATGGCTTCCCTGCGGGGGCGGTGTCAGCGAGACGCCTCTGACCACGTGGTTGACGGGGCGGCCAATCAGAGTTACCTCCGGATGTGACGCGCTCAGGCGGGCTCAAAAAAATGTGTATTCTGACTGATCAGAGGAAACCTCAGACAAACCCAAATGAAGGGCCTTTCTACAAAATAACTGAATTGTACTCCTCAAAAATAGCGCTATTACGAAACACAAGGAAAGACTAAATATTTCAGATTTAAAAAATTAATGCAACACATGATCTGGGATTTTCTTTTGCTGTACAGGGCATTATTGGAACAACTGGTGAAATCTGAATAAAGCACATAGATTGAATAATTTTATCAGTGGTAATTCCTGAATATATTAATTGTACTTTGGTTATGTAAAAAATGGCTTTAAGAAAATACTGAGATAGTTAAGGGAAAAGAGTATGTGTTTTCCAAACTCAGTGTCCTACACTTTCCAAAAGTGTATATATACTTTTCTCTCATATATGA